GCTTTTGTTCCGGCCCTCCGGTCCAATTTAAGAACCCATTGTGGCCCTCGAGTCAAAAAGTTTGCCCACCCCTGGTCTGGCACCAGGTGGGGGGAGGCCAGGGATACCATGACTTCCTACCCATTCAGGGCAGCCCCCACCAGAGAGGGCACTCCAGCTCAAATGCCATCAGTGCAGAGGTGGAGAAACCTGCCCTAGAATGTCAGAGTGAGGCAGGAAGGAAATTGACAAGGTCCCTGCACAGAGAAATGGTCTGGGAGGGTGGGGAGTTGTGAGCAGGGGAAGGGAGGGGACAGAAGGGCCAGGGGAGCCTGTGGCAGGGATGTGTTTGGGGGTCCCTGGGTGGTTGACCACCTCATCTGGGGACTGCGGGACCTGAGGGCAGTGCAGAATTTTGGGCAGACACAGGGGTCCTGACCCAGTGCCATGCACAGGAAGTTTCATGGACAATAGTCGGGATTCCAGCAGAAGTTGGAGGAAGTAAGATAAGAGAGAGGAAGGAATTAGGGGGCAGGTGAGGACCCAGGAGGGTGGGTGAAGGGTCTCTCAGGATGGAGGCCTCCATTTTGGAGAAGCAGGCTCTCTGGGGGTGGGCTCTGCAGGATGAGTAAGAATTTGGGGGATGGAGGAGGGAGGTACATTGTGACTAATGCCTGGCCTGGGTGTGTCTGCAGATTGAGGTGTGAATCCCAGCCCCGCACTTTCTGCCTGTATGTTTTTAATTGATTTTTCTTTTTATTGATTGATTGATTTCAGAGAGAAAGGGAGGGAGAGAATATCATTTTGTTGTCTCACTTATTCATGCTCTCACTGATTGATCCTTGTCTGTGCCCTTACTGAGGATTGAACTGTGACCTTGGCATACCGGGAGGACACTCCCACCAACTGAGCTACCCACCCAGGGCTTAACTGGTTTTTAGAGAGAGAGGAGGGAAGAGGGGAAGGGAGAGGGAAAGACAGAAACATCTATGTGAGAGCAAAACACTGCTTGGCTGAATCCTGCATGCCCCCTACCCGGGAAAGAACATGCAACCGGGGCCTGTGCCTTGACCAGGAACACCCACCGGGGCCAGCCCTGCACTTTCCATGGGAGGGGATGGAGACCATGACAAGATGTCCTTCTCCTCACAGCTTCCATTTCCATGGAAAGGGATGGGGAGCAAGAGCATCAGGAGCTGGGGGAGGAGATAAGACTAGAATGCTGAGCACTGAGTGAGCACTGATGGGGGTGGGGAAAGGGTGGACAGTCCTTTAGGGTGAATCCATCAGAAAAGAGGGCTGGGTAGGCAGTGGGGTGGTACCTGACCAAACCCTGTGGGCTTCTGGGAACATTCTGGAGCAAGGAGGCTGGTGTAACCATCAAGGGGTCCCAGATGCTTGGGACTGACACAGTGATCCTCCAGGAACTACAGAGTAAGTTCCTTCCCCAAAAGGGGAGGCTTATTCTGTGGAACCCAAAGACCCCAGAAGAAGTTACCTTCCAGAAACCATGACAGCAAAGAACAGGTGCCCCCTCCCACTTGATCACCTGTCTGGATTGGTGGTGGTGGTGGTGGGGTGGGGTGGGGCAGATGGCAGATTTGGGCCAACTTTGAAGCTTCCCCACCTCTAAGGCTGCCCCATGAACCACCCCCTGCCACCTGGCCCCCGGCCTCCCCCTCACCGTCCCCTCCCCACAGCCATGTGCCCCTCAGAACTGCCAGGTCAGGGAAACATGAGGGAAACAGGTGAGTCCAGGTGGCCTAAGAGACAACAAGGCTGAGTCAGACAGAACTCGCCCCAACCCCTCCATGAGCCTCACCCACTCCTGCCTGGACCCCTCCCTCTGAACCCGACACAGATGGGCCTGGGTGCCTGTTGCTCCTTGAGTCAATTATTAAGCAGAGACAGGGTTGAATTTTATGAACGTTTATTAGGATGGATTGCCAACTGATCTGGGACCAGGTTGTTATCTTTCCAAGATGACAGGAAACTCTCTGAAAAGCACCCTGGACGGCATTCTGAGGTTAATCCCCTTGTCTCTGGGCCTGCACCTCTCAGCCTGGTTAGAATGTGCTTTCCCTAATCGTAAGAGAACAGTCACAGTTAACAGACATGGTTAATAGAATAACATAGCTGGTCCCCACTGTTCTATTTCTGCCCCACAGCTCCTCACTGCGATTCCTCTCTCTCCAGCGCCCAGCCCCCTCCCTGCAGGCAGGCCACCACCCCAGACCCTGACTGTCCCTAACTCCTCCCATCCCTCTCCAGGCCCCTCCTCACCTGCAGGCTTCCTGGGACCTCAGGGCAGCAGAGCCAGGAGGCTCAGGGGCAGGAGCACTGTGGCTACGGAGAGACTGAGGGTGATTCCGGATTTGGGGAGGCCATTGGCGTTGGTGGGGCTCTTGCCGGAGACCAAGGCCTCATTCTCTTTTCTGAGGTGGAGATGGGGACAACTCCCGCAGCTCCGCGAATATGTCCCGCAGCTCCCGATTCAATGTCTTGATCTTTTCTAAGGAGGGACAGAGTGCTTCCACACCGTAGCCACGCCCCTCAACTGGCCCCACCCCCGGACAGGACCCGTCGCCATTTGAGCAAGTGAATCTTGGAAGTGTGGCATGCCGGCCACATCCCACTTCCCCTGGCTTTGGTCCTGTCTCTCTAGCCCGACCCCAATCCAGAGGCCCTCCCCCTCCCTCCTCTTCAATACCTGACCTGCTCCTGCAAACTCCCTGACTGCAACCGGGCCTGTGTTTTTCTCATCTTGAAGCTTCTGCACCAGCTCCTGTTGCTTGTGGCGCCCAGCCTTCTCTTTCAGGGAAATCTTCAGGGTCTCCTGGGATGCCGGGAAGAGTAAGGGTGTTGCAAACTGGGGTTCTTGTCCCTGGTGGGGTTGGCTGCTGTTCCTGGGCCCTGACCCCCTCTCCAGGCCCTGGAGTCAGAGGGCTCAGGCCCAAGCCCCTTTCAGGATTCCTGCCAACCCTCTCTGAACCTGTCTCCACCCTGAAGAATGGCCACAGCCTCCCACCCTCCAGGGTGTGATCCTCAAAATGGGAGTTTCAAGTCCCCCCTCCCTAGGAATTTGGAGGCTCTCTTGGCCCAAAGCCTAGGAGAAATGTCCAGATCCCCTGGGCTATTGTCCAAGAAGAGTTAGGTGTCCCCTGAAACCCAGAACACTGTGGGATTTCTGAACCCAAGTTGGATGTCCAGTGGGACTTTCAAGGACCCCCACATCAAGACCCAGTTAAAATGCTGCCTCTTAGGGATGCAGTGGAAGTATCAAGAGCCCCTGCCTTGCCAGGGCCACGTAGCTCAGTTGGTTAGATTGTCATCCCAATATGCCAATGTTGTGGGATCTATTCCTGGTCAGGGCACATACTGAGAATCAACCAATGAATGCATCCATGAGTGGAACAACAATCAATGTTCCTCTTTCTCTCTCCCTTCCTCTCTCTCTAAATCAACAAATAAAAACAACAACAACAACAACAACAAAAAGCCCTTGCCTTCTTCAGAGTCTGGTCCATCCCAAACCCCAGAGGGGATTTCTGCTTCCCTAAGACTGTGCCCAGGGGGAGCTCCCAGCTGCCCTAGACCAATGTCCTGGAGTTTGGAGATTCATCCACATCTTACTGGGAATACTGAGACCCCTTATTTGGGTGCTCTGGAGTCCCACACTGGCACCCCAGAGGGAGTTCAGAGCTCCCCAAAACCCTGGTGGGGAAATTCAGGCTCCTCATGCAGGGACATAGGGGCAGTTTCAAGGTCTATCTCGATCTCCACCCAGACCCTGGGAGTCCTCCCAAGCACAGGGCCCTCTCTAGGAGGGGCAGGACTTACCACAGTCTGGTTGCAAGTGGCAGCTCGGGCCTCAGTTCCCCGCAAGACTTCCTGGGCCTGGGTCAGCTCCTGCTCCAGGAGGTGGGTGATGTTTCGACACTCCTGCTCAGCCGTCCTTGCCAGCTGGGCTATTGGCCTGGACAGCAAAAACGCCCATTGCCACAGACAGACCGACCACCACTACCAGCAGGATCCCCACAATCCCATTCCGTACTGGGAGCTTGCGGCCCCCATCTTCTTGGGGTACTCATCCATGGGCACAGTGGGGTGGCAGTAAAAAGTTGGTGCTATCCAGAGGGATGCAGTGGAGCCTGGTTGGGAGTCCGGAAAGAAAGCTAGAATTTTCTACATGTTGGATTTGCCCCCTTATTAGCATGGGATCTATGCTGACCAATGAAACGTTCCAAAACCGGACATCTGCAGGAAGAGGACAGTTTAGCTTTCACTTTCATTTTCCAGAAATGAGGTGTATCAGGAGCTGGGTGAGGAGATAAGACTAGAATGCTGAGCACTGAGTGAGCACTGATGGGGGTGGGGAAAGGGTGGACAGTCCTTTAGGGTGAATCCATCAGAAAAGAGGGCTGGGTAGGCAGTGGCGTGGTACCTGACCAAACCCTGTGGGTTTCTGGGAACATTCTGGAGCAAGGAGGCTGGTGTAGACATCAAGGGGTCCCAGGTGCTTGGGACTGACACAGTGATCCTCCAGGAACTACAGAGTAAGTTCCTTCCCCAAAGGGGAGGCTTATTTTGTGGAATCCAAAGACCCCAGAAGAAGTTACCTTCCAGAAACCATGACAGCAAAGAACAGATGCCCCCTCCCACTTCATCACCTGTCTGGCTTGGAGGTGGGGGGTGGGGGGCGGACGGCCTTGGGCCAACTTTGATGCTTCCCCACCTCTAAGGCTGCCCCATGAACCACCCCCTGCCACCTGGCCCCCGGCCTCCCCCTCACCGTCCCCTCCCCACAGCCATGTGCCCCTCAGAACTGCCAGGTCAGGGAAACATGAGGGAAACAGGCGAGTCCAGGTGGCCTAAGAGACAACAAGGCTGAGTCAGACAGAACTCGCCCCAACCCCTCCATGAGCCTCACCCACTCCTGCCTGGACCCCTCCCTCTGAACCCGACACAGATGGGCCTGGGTGCCTGTTGCTCCTTGAGTCAATTATTAAGCAGAGACAGGGTTGAGTCCTATGAAAGTTTATTAGGGTGGATTGCAGGCCAAATGGGAGAGAGCTTCTCTGGGACCAGGTTGTTATCTTTCCAAGATGACAGGAAACTCTCTGAAAAGCACCCTGGACGGCATTCTGAGGTTAATCCCCTTGTCTCTGGGCGAACAGCTCTCAGCCAGGTTAGAATGTGCCTAATCAGAAGGGAACAGTCACAGTCAACGGACAAGGTTAATAGGATAACATAGCTGGTCCCCACTGTTCTGTTTCTGCCCCACAGCTCCTCACTGCGATTCCTCTCTCTCCAGCCCTCAGCCCCCTCCCCACAGGCAGGCCACCACCCCAGACCCTGACTGTCCCTAACTCCTCCCATCCCTCTCCAGCCCCCTCCTCACTGGCAGGCTTCCTGGGACCTCAGACCAGCAGAGCCTGGAGACTAAGTGTCAGGAGCACAGCGGCCACAGAGAGACGGAGGGTGATTCCAGAGTCGGGGGGGCACTTGGCAGAGACCAAGGCCTCATTCTCTTTTCTGAGGTGGAGATGGAGACAACTCAGGAGGCTGCCAGGTCTGGCTGC